AGGCAGGGAGGCTTAGATAGGGAGTGGAGTCCTGGGGGGCAGTTAGGGGCAGGGGTCCCAGGAGGGGGCAGTCAGGGGACAAGGAACGGGGGGAGGGTTGGGAGTTCTGGGGGGGCGGGAAGTGGGAGGGGCAGGGGCGGGGCTAGGGCGGGGCTCCTCACGTCCTCTTTTTTTCTTGCTGAAATATGGTAACCCTATCTACCAGAGACAAGTTTGGCAGGTTGTGTCAAAAGCTAACTTTAAACTATGAGAGAAACAATGATGACATTTAGTAAAAGCCACAATGATAACACCATGCAGAAAGGGGGAAGGCATTGGAGTATGCTCTCAAACATGTTTCAATCCCAGCTGACAGAAAAATCTCAGAAATAAATCCAATGCACAGCTGAAAATACTTTGGGCATGTCTCCAAGGCTTCTCTAACTTTCTGAGGTACTGTAAGTATTTTACTATCAGCAATACATTGTGTATACTGTATAGCTCATGTTGAATAATATGTTAGGATCTTTACAACGCTGGTTTTGTAAACATTTAAGATGTTATGCAGTTGAAAACACTCAGATTTCCTAACTGGAAATTCTGCTAGGGAGTAGATGACTTGTTAAAATTTTCCACTCTGAGAGTGTGTGCTGCAGAGAGGACAATGCTGCTGGGCAACTTTCCTAGTTATGTTTTCACCTTAGTCCAACTTCCTGCTGACTTCAAGAGGACAAAGGTCATATTATATTCTGCATGGTTATAAAAGAAAAAATAATTACAAATAAAGTTATTAGCTAGATTAATTGAGAAGTGTATATGGGTCAGTTATCTAGATGTTATAAGTCAAAACAACTTTTTCTCTTTTAAAACAAATGTGTCTGATTCCCTGACAATAGTCTTCTGCAGGCCAAGCCTGGGAATTATACACTGAACCTTGTCTGTTTTTTTAACTATACACTATATAAACAGTAGTTTAATTCCTTAATGCTCTCTCAAGATGATTCAACACAGTTACTGTCAATCAGCCTGGGAGATCCCTTTTCCAGATACAGCTCTTGGAATGAGTTGTTGTTGTGTGTGCTCGTACTTGGAGATAACAAATATGGAATGAGAGCTCTTTGGAGCCAGTTATGTTGAACTTTGGGACTATTAATGTCAAATAGGCACTATCAGAACTGAACAAAATGTTTTTGATTAAAGAACCTTTATTTATACAGCTGGTCTTACACTTATTGAAAAAATTTATCAGTATAAGAAAAGCTCCCAACAGTGAAAGGTTTCAGAGTAGCAGCCGTGTTAGTCTGTATCCGCAAAAAGAAGAACAGGAGGACTTGTGGCACCTTAGAGACTAACAAATTTATTAGAGCATAAGCTTTCGTGGACTACAGCCCACTTCTTCGGATGCATATAGAATGGAACATATATTGAGGAGATATATATACACACATACAGAGAACATAAACAGGTGGGAGTTGTCTTGCTCTCTGTATGTGTGTATATATATCTCCTCAATATATGTTCCATTCTATATGCATCCGAATAAGTGGGCTGTAGTCCACGAAAGCTTATGCTCTAATAAATTTGTTAGTCTCTAAGGTGCCACAAGTCCTCCTGTTCTTCTTCTTCCCAACAGTGAGCATTTCTTACAAAATAGTAGTTTAATTTGCTCCGATAATTCCCCAGAGGTAACATATTACTCTATAAGAGGCACCGAATTACAGTATATTCAGCAAAACAGGTGTCCAAATAGAATAAAGCCAGCTTTATAGATGTTATTCAGTAAAAATATTGTCCAATCTAATTTTCATTATAAAAGCTAAACTCAAAGCCAACTCTTATCTTTAATAAGTGCTATTCAATATTCTTAACAAAATACTATTATATTGCTAATTTAAGAAAACATACTTTTTGAGTGTTTCTCTAAGGTTTTTAAATCTTCCCTCAGATGACACAGTCTTCTGAAGTTTGTCCATGAGAGCTTTTGTCTAGAAAAAGAACAAATTACAAGTGTCACCCTGTGTGAAAACTGACTTTGGTATTGGGGTAAAATTTTCAAAAGCACTTATGAAAATAGCACATCTGAAAACAGAACTTAAAAAATTAGAAGCCAACTCCCATTGACTTCAATAAATTTAGGCTCCTGAGTGACTAAATGGGAATTAGGGGGGGCTTGAAAATTTTACCCATAGTAGCTTGAGGAATGTACCACATGCTGGGCAAAAATCATTTGAGTAAGTTCAAAAAGAATAGGACCATGAAACTAATATTCAGCAATACAACCTCAGTTGCACTGCACAAGAGGATATTTGGGGCCCAACCCTATGAGATGCTGCATGTCCTTAACTTCTATTGAGCTCAGTGTGAATTGAGGATGTTCAGCGCCTCTCAGGAAGCACTCAGAACTATGAAGGACAAGCCAGTAGCTAGTATGTGGGTTAATAAGAAAGTTGAAGTCAGAAAAGAGGAAAAACAAGAATGAAGCACAACAAAGGAGCAAACTAAGTTTGGGACTACTCACAAGCTTAACGTTAAGCATGTGCATAAATCTTTGCAGAACTGGACTATAAAGTGATTAGTGATCACCAAATTATGCTTCCCAAAAAAGGTTGTTCTCCTGCATGAACGTGACATTCATACAATGTTCAGGTTGACAGCACTTCAGAGGTACAAGGGAATGTTTATTCATTTTTTAAAAATTAACACTAGAGTTTAAAAAAACCATGGAAACATTTTGTTAGTGTTAAGCTTTTATTAAAGTAGTGGGTTGGGTGGGTTTTTTGTTTGCTTTTTAAAGAAAAGAAGATGGTCCCACCAGGGGAATGGCCGAAATTAGGGCGACTAGTGGAAGCATATTCCCTAAACAGCCTCCAGTGTGCGGCTGCTCTAGGGGCCTTTGCAGAGATTAAAGCTGCCTTCCCTTGATGGTAAAACCTAGAAGAGGACATGCAGTTGTATATCCCTGCCCTCCCATAGCTGAATCAGACCAGATGGTACAGACAGGGACATTTTGCACTCTCTTGAGTTACCAGGAGTTAAGTTTGTCCCAGGAGTGTTGCTTTAACATGGTAAGGTTCCATATTTCTGACTTCAGTAGGTCAGCTGCTCTTGGGCACAAAAATGGTAACTAGTTTAAAAAAAGAAAAGAAGAAGAAGAAGAAGAAGAAGAAGACCACTACCCTAGAAGGTTTTATGCACATTGAGGACAGTTGAACTGGTTTCTTGCAGAGTATTTTAAAATGCAGAAATAATATTTTGCTGTAATAAAATAAAATAAAATGCTATTTTAGACTTCATTCAGTATAGAACATATAACATGGTCTATTCTGAAATTGTCTCTATTTGTCCAGGCCAGCTTCTTTCTTATGTCATTGGTTTTCTTGGGGTATGTCTACACTGCAATGTAAGCTCAGGGTTAGTAGAACTTGAGGTAGCAGACCCTGGGTTTGTTAACCTATCTACACTTATTTGTAATCACAGGTTAGGAACTGTTGAAGCCAAACATGGGACCTAGCAGCTACACTGCGTTTTGCAGATCCGAGTCCAACCACCTATATCCAAGACTTCCTAGTGCTCTCCCAAAATGTGGCTGCTGTAGCCCTTTGTTCATGGTGCATTGTGGGAAAACGTGACTGTCCAGAGGACAAAGAAAGTCGGTCATGGCATTGTGAGATACTTTTGGCAGAGTCCCAGAGCATGAGTCTAGTGGGCTGCTACTACAAGGCAAAGTAGTAAGACTTGAACACTGGATCTCAGCTTGATTGAGACTTGGACACTCCACCTCATGGCTCCTGGGACTCTGGGTCTGAGCCCTGGGTTAGCATAATTTGTGTGTAGATGCAAGGGGGTTTAGGCTTGAGCCTGAGTTCGAGCCTTGGGATTATACTGCAGTGTAGACATACCCTTGTTGGAAGTCTCAGCCAAGAGGCCAAAGGCTGAATGTGCAAAGAAGATATGTCTACACTGCAATAAAAGACCTGCGGCTGGCCTGGGTCAGCTGACTCAGGTTTGAAGGGCTCAAGCTAAGGGGCTATAAAATTGTAGTGAGGACATTTGGTCCTGGGCTCTCTGAGATGCCATGAGGCAGGGGCAGGAGAGGTGTCCCAGCACCTGGACTCCAGCCCAAGCCAACATCTACACTGTAATTTTATATTCCTTCAGCCTGAGCCCCACAAACTTGAGTCAGCTGACACAGACCTGCTATGGCTGTGCCATGGATCTTTCATCACACGGTAGACATGACCACAGAGAGATTTATCCCCTCAATTTTGGTCTTCAGGAGCATCTTTCATTAATTCTTAAAGTATCTTCAAAATTAATTAGGCCTAGATCCTCAAAAAGGTATTTAGATGTCTAACTCTCAATTGGAGTTAGGCGCCTATATACCTGACAATCTGGGCCTTAAAATCATTAAAAAAAAATAAACCAAAGAAAACTATTTTCCAAGGACAACAGCACCTGAAATTGGGACTATATTTGAGAAGCTGAAAAGAAAAAAGAAAATCATTTTATGTTACTGGACAGCATTTTTTATCCCACCACAATGCTATTGAATCTTATTCAAAATTAATGTATAGCTAAATGTTCATATCTAAATGAAGCCAATCTAATAAATACAGCTTTTAGTTTTGTTAAATATTTCAATTCAATATTTTAGGGTCAAATTTTGCTTTCAGATATATGCACATGCAACTTCCAATGAAGTCAATTAGTGCTTAAGATATTTAATTAATGAGACAGAAATTGAAAATAAGTGAAATATACAAACGTTTGAAATGAAATAATAATATCCACTGAAACCCTTAATGATCAGATTATTCTTTAAGCTTAAATAAATCTGGTTAGAATGTAGTTATCTGGGCCTCTTTATTATCTAGGTAGTGCATCAACAAATGAAATGCTACAACCATATTTGTAGAAATGTCTTGCTCACCTGTTTAGAAACTTTAGCCCAGGTTTTCTTCAGTCTGTAGATTGCACTTCTGTTGAAGGCTGATGTAATTTCTAACACACCATTGTAGTTGTGCAAACATCGACAAATGTCCGCCACTGCTACCCACTTCTCAATTGAGTTAGCACGGGAACCGACATCAGCATAGTTCATAATTTGCGAGGCAACAAGGTTACTCATCTAACCAAATAAAAAGCCAAAAAATCTGAAAATATTTAAATATAAGCACTTGCAAACAACATTATTTAACAAATGGGGGAAAATTAAATGAGGTGGCAGGGATTGTAGCTCGTAAATAATAAGGCTGAGAAAAATGTATATTGAAACACTGCCAGAGGACAGGGAGAAGAACAGTAAACTAAGGGGAAGGTAACAAATGCATCAAAACAACCAGTGAATAATGTCTCAAAGCCAGCAGTAATGTTGCTACTGGTGATGGCTCTTAGCAACATGTAAAGAAAAAAAGTCAAGGGTAAGAGTATAGGTGGAGACTCAAGCAATAAACCAGAAGATGATAATTAACTGGTGTTTTTATAGTTTCATCCTCTAAAGAGAGAACTTAATTTCTTCTGGAAGCAGTAGGAGATTTCAGCAGAGTTCAAAAGGTTCTAATCCATTAAATTTCTATTGAACTGCTGACTAGCAATTCTTTACACGCTTTCTTGGTTTATAAGGTTAATCACAAAGAAGCTGTAACGTTTAGTCACTACTAGATCAGAAATTATATCACAATGTGGAGACAGACATTTATATTTCAGAGTTCATATACCATGTCAACAGCGTTCCTAAAAGGCATGCTCCATGTTTATGGTTACTTACATCATTAAAATGTTGGCTGGTTTTCATAATGTATGGAGTTCTTTCATTTTTATCCAATTTCATCCAGCCTTGCCCAAGAAATTCTCTGGAAATCAAGGTTTAAAAAAAAAAAAGAAGAACAAAAATGAAAAAAGTCATCTATAAATGCACTACAAAACCCTGGTTAGCCCAAATGGATTTCAACTACACCTAGTTTTACTGGACACTTAATATAATTTTCCACTGTAATTGTAGCATTTCACTGTGCCATTACTAGAACGCTGTATGGCTGTAAACATTGTTAAGGACATTTAGTTTGCTTTCAGTTTTCTCTGTTCCATGTACTCTCAATTTTCAGCAGCATGACCCTATTTGAAACTATTACTTAAATACAGCACCAGGAGCTGACAAGATGAGATGGATGTATGGAGGGGGCTGAGTTGACATTCACTTCCCCAGAGATTGTGCACTTCCCCACTATGCTCAGCCCTCACTAGCCCAAAACCTGAGATTGTAGGTTTGTTCTTAATTTTCCAGGGGCTCTCAAATGCAGCAAACAGTGACATATTAATGTAAGATTAAAGGCTTATTAAAGTCTTATTAAAGACTGAGTAGGAATATGTAATTCTATAGGAAATGTAGTGCATGGTTCTCATACGGCACGCAAATCACAGCAACAGAGATGTTACTGTTCTTAGTGTTCTTGAACTCAGTCTTTCAGAACATAAATGGACTATCAGAGATCCTAAGCAACAACAAACAAGCCTAAGGATACTAATCAATTATATATGCAAACTTTTTTACAGGGATATCAATAGCATGAATCAGTAGAGTGCCTAAAACTACTAGTCAGAAAGACTCTTAGAATATTCACTTTGATCATCCCTGGGAGAACACTTACTCATAGGGTATGCTTCTGAACACTATGTGATCTAAGAGAGTTATTTGCTCTGCAAGCTCCATGGCTGACAAAGTTTCAAAGCACTCTGGTTTTGGACATTCTGACTGCAAAATAAAAAGTACAAGAATAGTCAATGATTTCTGTTTACAACCAATTTGTTTCCAAAACACAAGATATTAACTAGCTTTATATGCATTTTAAACCACAAATTACTACACAACTTCTAGGTTATCAAAGAAAAGGGATAGGGCAGAAAAAACACTAACAACATGAAGTCCAATCTATGGAGTCTTCACCTACTGCATTTCCTATGTGCCTCAGCTTTGCACCAGTGCACATACAGGGTAAATGAAAACATGCTGTGGACAGATAATGACTGTAGTTGAGGATGGGCCTCCTTACTGAAGTTTAGAAGTGGGTTCTGAGCAGCCATTTTATTGTGGAGAGACGATATAAACCTGAAGCAGATATCCTACTGATACGCATCTGACGCTGCCGGAGATGAGAAGGCATAAGGGCTGCCTCTTGCTCAGGTGTTTCATTGCCTCATATCAATGCATGTCTTCCCCATTTTGGGCCAGTACAGCATCTGACTCCATGAATGTTAGCAATCACCAATTCATAAGTAAGTCTAGACGCTCTGACAAGCTCTCCTTGGTTATGTGTTTTAAACACTTGTTTTCTCTTCAGTTTTAAACATTCAAAGTTATGTAGCAGATCTCAGATATAAAGAAACAGTAATTTGGTAGAAATATGGCAGTAAGGTTGCAGCTGAGTACATTTTAGTGATTTACACAGATTTCATAATCCTCTAAATTATCTGATGCATAAATCTTTGGATGAACTCACCATTTGAATTATATCCTCTATTTTTAAGTGGGTATCATCTTGATCATCCTGAGAAAGAGCCCTGAAAAATTAAATGGCAGAACATCCTATATAAAGAAAATTATCTATGGTTATGAGAATATTTTAGCACAGTTCATTGACTACATTAATCTAAAATAAATGCAAAAGCTGCAATTGAAAGCCCCATTTAAAAAAAATCCTGTACCTAACAGTTTTATCTTTGGTTGCAGAAAACAGCTGTGGAATAATGTACAGGCCAGCAGTGCATGTGAAAATGCTAAACTGCTATCCCTGGAGAATTTAATCCTATCCTCTTTCTCCCAAGACCAGTTACAACATGGATGGCAGCAACGCAATCACCACCATGTTGTCCCACTAATATGTCTAAACTCTTACTTGAGGGACCACCTGCAGCTGCAGTAGTGATAATGTTGTGTGGTTTCCACGTCCTTTTTGTCCCCGACTTCTGAGCTGAGGAATGCCAAAGAGGAGGCCAATTGCAAAAGCTCTTCACTGGGAACTGGACTAGGCTCACAAAACACCGACATGCCATTTTATGCAGAGGAAGATTAAGATTTATTGGGGCCCTGGGCACAAAGAAGTTCTGTGGGCACCTCACCATTGCCCCTGGACGCCATGGGCTCCCCATCCCCCATCACCTCTGGGCTCCCAGGGCTTACCCCCCCCCACAGGGCCCATTGCCTCCCCATAGTCCTAATTTGTATTGAAAGAAGTGTCAGGGCTGAGTTTCAGCAACCCCTGACACAAATTAAACACTGGCTGGGTGATGGCTGCTGGCTGGGTGCTTAACTCTGAAGGCAGTGTCTCCACCAGCAGAAGTGGAGAGGTAAGGGTGGCATGGCATGTAGTGTATTGCCACCCTTACTTTGTGCTGCACTGTGCCCCTTGTGCCCCCTAACTCACCTTTTGCACCCACATGGGGAAACTGACCTGTATGCACAGAGTGGCTGGCACTGCTGCTTGCTCTCCCCGCAAAGGCTGTTCCTTAATGCCCCTGTAGGGGGGCAGCTCCTGATGCTTGCCTTACAGCACAGCCCAGGTGGGGAAGGTGACCTGGATGCATGGAGTGCTTGGTGTTGCTCCTCGCTCACCCACTCTCAGGAGGAACACTGTGGGGGAGCGAGCATTATCTGTGCATCACCACTTGCCCCATCCCCTGTTCCTCCACTGGGAGGAAGCAAGGAGAAATCTGAGTGCCCCACACACATGACCTCTGTGAGTTTGCAGTGCTCTCCTGCCAGCTGGTAGCACACACCTCTGCACTGCTGTACGGCGTTTCCCTGACCACGGCCCCCCGGGCGGTCGCCTGGGTGGCCCACCCCTAAGGCTAGCCCTGGAGCCACCCAGGGAGCTCAGGCTGCTGTGGGGAGCCCTGGACCCTCCAGCTGCCCTGGGTGGCATGCCCCAGGGGGTGGGGACATGGGCCGGGGGCTGATCTCGGGGCCCCCAGGCCTCTGCCCAAGGCAGGTGGGGGGGTCTGGGGCTTCTCACAGCAGCTCTTACCATGGCTCAGCTCCGACTTCTGGCCTGGGCAGGGCCAGAGGGGGAAAAAGGAGAAACAGCGGATGGAGCCACAGTTCTGGCACTAGTGACCCCTCACGTACACACTTCTATCCAGATTCTGGCACTCCTGCGGGGTGGGGGCCCCAAATTGGCTGGGGGCCCTGGGCATGGGCCCCATGGACCCGTGTGTTAATCTACCACTGATTTTATGGTAAAAACATTTGATCACTCTAACTCCATTAACTGAATTAGAATTGCACAAAGGTGAAAAACTACATCCCACTGCCAATAATCTGAGTCCCCCAGACCTTCTCTCCATTTTTATTATTACTGCTATTATTGAGAGTAAGGCTCCCATCACAGTAGTATATGGGTTCATAATTCTAATATACGATCTTCTCACGCTTTGTCATTTCTATTTTGATTGCTAGCTTTTTGAGCCAGAGCCCCCGCTTACTATGAACAGCATCTAGGTCAATGGGATCTTGATCTTGGTTGTGGGCTCTACATGTTACCGTAATACAAATAATTAATAATAATAACCCCTTCTCAATTTACAGTGCCAATGTAATGTGCCATTAAAATGTGAATAGCTTGGAATTTATCTGGTACTTAATGTAATAAATGTATCAGCATGTGGCCATAACAGCTTTTTCATTTACCAGATGGGGAAAGGGTTAAAAGAAAAGAAAAGAATGATAATGTTTGGAGATTTTAGATAGGATTGTAAGAGCTGGAATGTGTACTACGTGGGTGGGGAGGAAGTGTTAGTGCTAAGTACACTAGGTTCTTCTGTGGTAGGCTGTTTCCTTTTAGCTTGCCAAATTGGAGGTGGACTAGGCTAAAACTGAATGTGGATACATGAAGAAAATAAAACATGTTATACTACTCAAGAATGCTCCTTGCCTGAGTCATAACCTGCATTTTGGGCCCATCAAATCCTCACAAAATGCCCTCTTCTTCAGAGCAAGTGTAAACACTCCCATGTCTAATGGTTATGCCATCCAGAGTCTTAAAATCTTATTTTATCCTTCAGGAGAATTTTCAATACCTTCCTCAGAAAACACCAGTGTGAGTGTCTTGTAGATGGACAGGTCTGTTAATTGCTAAGCAGCTGACTTTGTGTGCTTGATCCTATATGGTGCTGAGTAGTGCTGACCATCCTTAACTCCCATCACTTCTCAGAAGGTGTTCACTAAGCTTGGAAGGATCAGGCCTTTATTTGCAGCACAGACCTGAACAAAATACTCAGCTTGTTGGTACAGAAGACCTGCATTTGATCACTTCCAAAGCTCTGCATTGCCTGAAATATTTTCTCTTCTGTGTGAGGGCTCTTCTTTGGAGGCACATGTGCACTATATGTCCAGGGCCGGCTCTAGGCACCAGCAAAACAAGCTGGTGCTTGGGGCGGCACATTTTTAGGGGCGGCATGGCCGGTGCCAGAATGTCGCCCCTAAAAATGTGCCCCAGCCACCCTAGCTCACCTCCGCTGCTGCTGCCACGGCGTGCGAAACAGCTGATTCGCGCGCCGCTACTCGCCCTCCCTCCCAGGCTCTCAAACCTGGGAGGGGGGAGACTCCGAGTGGCCGCGGCGCGGCACCGCTTCTCCCCCTCCCTCCTAGGCTTGAGAGCCTGGGGGGAGGAGGCAGGGCTGGGGGATTTGGGGAAGGGACGGAGTTGAGGCGGGGCCTGGGGTGGGGTAATTAAATAAGGGGGGGCAGCCAAAATTGTTTTTGCTTTGGGCGGCAAAAATCCTAAAGCCGGCCCTGTATATGTCTATGGTTTATTGTTACCATTTTATTATCCAAGCAAGATTGGTTTGCTTAATGATTTAGAAGGGGGATTACTTTGGGTCTTGGATACAGAAAAGACCACTCAGAATTTGTTTGATCCAACAAAACATGCTCAGGGGAAATCATGCCGTTAAATGGCTCTAAATATTTGACCTTACACCACCACTTCCGCTCCTGATGTGCTCTCACATTGCAGAATTAGGATTTTGCACAAATATCCTCTAACCCCTCATTTTAAAGAGATTCTGGTGCATTTTCTCCAATCTTGTGTTCTTAGGAAAAAAAGACTCCATCTTTTATTAATTTGTGCTCCAGTCCTAGCTCTTAGGCAGTACAGTGCCCTTTCCTGTATTGGCTTGATTAAGACAACTTGTCCTGATGGCACAACAGTAGCTTCCATTACATTCACACCAGCATTTCCAACAAACCAGTCCTCGAATTAGTGCACTTTGAATAACGAGGTGGAATACTGCTAAAGGGCAGTGCCTTGCTTGTCACAGCAGAAGTCTTCTTCCACCTGGGATATTTAAATGGAAGACAAATTTTTGCCCTCAGATCCAGAGTCCACCTAAAAAGCTGAATGATGATGATGGGCCTGTTTCCTCTAGTTGGATGAAATACATTTCTGCACCCTGGATAGTTCCTAGCAGCTAAGGAGGAAGCCCAGATTCAGGTGAGCAGAGATATGAGAGACAGAGAGAGAAAGGTCCTGCATCCAAGATATGCCTGACAGACATCTCAACTCTCACTGAGCACTAAATTAAACCTAGATGGGGCATTTCTCTATAGGAAAGGAAGGTGTTGGACGAAAAAGAATGAGTTTTCGCCTTCCCAGATTCATCTAGTAAGTTTAGTAGCTCTCACATGTCTCTCACATTTAAACAATTCTTAACTTCTTGCCCCAACACTTCAAATACTGGTTATAGCCATCTGGAAGTAACTTTTTTTTAAAGCACGTGTTGTCACAAGTTGGCTAATTTTTCATTCTCTTAGCTGTAAATAAAATAAAAAAACATAACTTAAAAAAGGGTAGGATTAGGTAGATGCCTTGAGATTTATTGTCTGATGAGATCACATGGTGAAAGAGCACTGTTTGTCCAGTCAAGGCTTTAACTCTCTGTATCCCTAGGTCTCAATACATTTTTGTTATTTGTGAGAGGAAGGAAATGGTTATTTTAAACCATGATTTTTTTTTCCAGATGGGGCTGTTTATCAGCTAATACTGTTCACTGCAGTACAGATCCAGCCCATAGTTTACAACTCCCTGGTTCAGTATCAGCAATCTGTTCATGCCTCAGTGTCAATGAAGTTCTGTCCAGATTCCAAGTTTACTAACTAAGGCAGATCAAACCTCAAGCCCTATTCCAGCAGAACATATTTCAGCAGGGCCTGTTTGGCTTTCAGGAATAATAGCTTTTTAAAAAAGCTTCTCTGCCCTGCAGAGATATCCTGTCAGTCTGCTCAACCAAGAATTCATCATGCAAAAAATACCAAACATTTTGCTTGATCACTTGAGTTTGCATGGAGCAGTTTAGAAGCGAGCATAAAGACCTTCTTTACCACCTAGTTTCTTTATTTTGTCTTTCCTGGCGGTGATCATAATATTTCTGGGTTTAACAATAAAATTTTCTTATGAAATACAAATTCCTCCTTAACCATTTACAAATTGGAGGAGTAAGAGGAACTGATAGGGCCAGATTTCAAAGAGAGGCATACGTGTGCAAAAGGGTGAGCTGGCACACAG